TTGACCAGTCTGCATCCATCCGCAGACCTAGAGGGGACTATCACCAAACAGGATCCCCAGGCCGACAATTTCTTTCAGAGAGTTAGCAAAGCTCCCCACAGGCACCCAAAACCCAGTAGAGCTTCTTCGAACTGTCAGAACAACCCACACCTCTTAACGTTTTCCCGACATTCATGTATTAACGCGTTTCTAGTAAACAGCGACAGGCAGTTACACCCGGAACATCTTCAGACTGCACACGCTTCCCGTAAAGGTTTTACCGTCAACATAAATGACGTTATAATTTTTATGCGGGGCTTTAAACCTCCAGTCGCGCCGTTTGTTTAATTTAATCTAAAACCAAACGAAAGTTCATGTACGGGCTTTTAAACCAACCGGACGATTCTTATTTTCAAGGAAAAAATTGCGTTTGGCGTGTTCATAATGTTCCCGGACCATTTCCGGTTAGCAAGTTGCTATCGTTTCTGGTCCATTCCCACGCGCGTCCCGGCGAGAAACGTTCTGTATAGAAACTTTTACGTCCGATAAATAAAATAAAAATCCCATATCATATTGTAATGTTCTACTGCCTTTTAATCCACAAAAACTGCGTGCACAAAAACCGAAAACAGAGCAGCCTGACCGTCCTTATGGGACACGCAGAAATTCGATTTAACAGGTTTCCTGCTTACCTTATGAGATGATAATAGCCGGCTTGTTCAGTCTGCTCAGACTCGGTCACCTGCCGCAGTATCACCATTAAAACAATACGAAAACAAGCCACCACTTCTAATATAACGGGAGACCAGATTTCGGCACCAACTGTTAAAGACTTGAGCTGGCTGTGAACCACCGGATCCAGAAACCCCCTCCAGCCCACGTCTTTACCCCCGGCTCGAACCTCCCTCAGAAGTGGCAACTATACTAATCAATAAATCAAGGAAACGTCAATTAAGTTTTATCAATTATATTAGAAAATGCAGGAAAAGAATACAATTTACAGCGCTGGACTCTTCGGCCTGCGATGCGTTCACAGACCCGGAAGTGCCTCAATGTCTCGTGTCATTACTCATTTATAGGGTCCTAAGGCTCCTCCTTCACAGAAGGGGAGCTCAACCTGTCATGTATGAGGTGGCATGACTAAGTGTGATCTCAGTGGATCTTATGTGGACTGACGTGTTAGGAAATATGAGACAGTGCTTCAAAAAAGCCTTTCTACGTGATGTGGCAGATCAAACTCTATTCCGTGACAGATATTGAATCCCAGGGAAACTCTTTTTAGAGTTTGATGGCCCAATTTAACCCAGTCAGAACCGGGTCATAATTTTATTATAATCCCGTCTCTGAACAGATCAAAACCATAGGACCAGTCTAGATTAAAAATATCTTAACAACCATCAGGCCAGGACTCTGTGGTCTACACTCATCTCCAGGCCAGCGGTCACTCTTTCAGGGATGAAGATGTGCACATCCTGGACAGAGAGGAACGATGGTTTGAGAGAGGAGTAAAGGAGGCCATCTTTGTGAAAATAAACCGTCCATCATCAAACAGGGGTGGAGGCCTACGTGTTCAACTGTCCCCCTCTTACAATGCTGTGATTGCTAGTATCACTCAGCCTCCCGTGAATAGTAAACAGCCATCAGTGTGCTAATGATCCATTGTTAGGCTGATGGTCCTTCTTGATCATTTTAGCAGCTGGTTTTGGTTGTCAGCAGCAAACTGGTTGATCCACTCTGAGAAGGTGCTATTTAAGAGACTGAGCTGAATACAGCACCTCAGACTGAGGAAGTCTTTCGGCTGAAAGACGAAACGTTTCTACATTTTTTGTTGTTTTGCTTTGTTTTGTTTTTTGAATGTCCAGAGGATCAGATTTACCTTTTTTATGAATATAATTTAAAGTTTACTTACCTCTACCATGCAGCCTCCACTGTAGAAAAATGCAGCAAACTTTAACAAGAAAGTTTGTGATTGACCTGTGGCCCCCACCTCACTTTTTTTTGTCTGTCTCTGTCCTCCTCACATCAGGGTCAGAGGCTCCTGTGAGGAGAACATAAACAAATGGTGAACATTAGATGAACTGTTTAAGCAGCTTATCCGATGGATGAGCACAGTTTTACAAGCTAAGCTTCATCTGTTACAGTCAATCTTTAGTTAGCTTCTGAGTTTAGCTAGCTATGTAGATAAATTTACACACTAATATCTTAAAGTTGGCGTTACATGGATTCTTGTTTAATTCACTGCAATGTACGTGTTAAGCTGCAGTAACGTTAACAAACGTAAACTCACCAGCTGAAACACTGACACAGCTCCGTCCTCGAGAGTTCTTTGATGAAGAGGAGTCAAACTGTGGAATGTAGATTCAGTCCGTTTAACACTCACAGACTGACTTTAATGCTGAGAGGAGGAGGGGAGGCTGCTGTCCTTCTCTCTTCTTGCAGAAAAACACAGAGCAACTTTCTGCTCATAAGCAGAAAGTTGCATGTCAAGTCAAGTCAGATTTATTTATAGAGCACATTTAAAACAGAAACTGTTACCAAAGTGCTTAACAAAAATATCACAACATCAGATAAAAAGTAGCAAGATATATTTACAGCACATGGAATAAAAATATAAAACCAAAAAAATTCGAAACAATGAAATACTAAATCAGATCACGTTGTGTCAAAAGTCAAGG